CCACTATAGTAAGGAGTTCCTTATCGTAGATCTCATAATTGATTTCAGCAGCAGAGAACTTTCGAGAATAGAATGCAACCAGATGGAGCTTCTTGTCTTCTCTCATTCGTAAAAGTACAGCTCCCAAAGTAAAATCCGAAGCATCAGTTTCTAAATAAAAGGCCTTTGTAAAGTCTGAATGTACCAAGATTGGAGCCGTAGTAAATGCGATCTTCAGGTCTTGAAACGCCTTCTCCGCTAGAGGTCCCCATTCCAGCTTATCCTTGCATGTCAACCGAGTGAGAGGAGTAACAACTTGAGAGTAATTCTTGATGAAGATCCGATAGAATTTAGCAAAACCAAGAAAGCATTGTATGTCTCTCACCGTCTTCGGAACCTCCCAGGACACGATTGCTTCCACCTTCTTAGGGTCCATCTTCAAGCCTTCCGTAGTCACAACGAATCTCAAAAACTCCATCTCTATTTGGTGAAATAAATACTTCTCCAACTTGGCATATAGTCCTCGCTTACGTAGTTTGTGTAAGACCAAACGAACGTGCTTTTCATGCTCTTCTTCGTTTTTGGAGAATATCAGAATATCATCAAAATAGATGACAACAAAATCATCAAGGTGCTCTCGAAAAATGTCATTCATCATATGTTGAAAGACTGTTGGAGCATTGGTAAGACCAAAGGGCATGACATTATACTCAAAATGGCCATACCTTGTACGGAACGCTGTCTTCTACTCATCTCCTTCTTTAATTCGTTCGAGGTTGTAAGCTCCCCTTAGATCAATTTTTGTAAAGATCCTTGCACGTCCAAGTTGTTCTAAGAGACCAGAAATCAAGGGTAACGGGTAACGATTCTTCTTTGTTACCTTGTTGAGGCCTCGATAGTCCACGCACATCTGTAATGAGCCATCTTTCTTCTTCACAAATAAGATGGATGCTCCAGTTGACGATTTTGAATGACGGATGAAGTTCTTGGCTAGATTCTCATCGATGTATTTCCGCAACTCTACCAACTCCATCTGCGATAGATTGTAGATTGGGCCAAAAGGCGGTTGTGCTCCTTCCTGTAAGTCTATGGTGCAATCATATGGTCTGTGTTCCAGTAGCATGTCGGCATTCTTTATTTGAAACACGTCTTTAAAATCCTTATATTGCTCGGGTATACTTGCTGTCGAGATCTTCTCCCCGGTAGTTGGAGCCGCATAAATGATAAATAGTGTGCCTTCCTTGGACAATCTTATAAATGCTCTTGCTCCAATGAATAAGGATTTTTCTATTGGGGGTTTTCTACTAGGCTTGCTCTTGGGTGGTTTTGTGGGAAAGGTCATCTTCTGCAACTTCCAATCTATAGATGGATTATGCTTTTTCAACCAAGAAAGACCAAGAATAACAGGATTTGATGGGGTTCTAATAATATTAAAAATAATATGACTACTATGGCCCTTAAATGTCACTTCTATAGGTTTTGATTTATGGGTGACACTACTAGACAATAAAGGTCGCCCATCTATGACCTCAACGTGAACAGGTTTGGATTTTTGTACTAAAGGGATCTTATGATGCTTTGTAAATTCTTCGTCTAAGAAACAAGTAGATGCTCCTGAATCTAATAATGCTAAGGTTCTCAATTTGTGAGGGCCAATAAGCAAAGGGATTGTAAAACAAAGGACAGGTTGAGCGAAAAGAAAGGAACCTGGTTGTTGTTGCAATATTTCACTGGCCAACCGCACGGTTCCTATTGTGGCTAGGCATCCTCGTTTTCCTGAATAAACGCGCCCCTAGTCTTGACAATACGTCGATTTTGCTTCTTGGGGCAGTTTCCAACTTTGTGGCCTTCTTCACTACAATACAATCATAGACCTTCATCCATACGCCGCTTTTTTTCTTCTAGAGTAAGGGATTTGACACGTACTGCATCAATTTGCATGTCTTCTACCTCTGAATGTAAATTCATACTGCTTGTCGACATAGTTGGGGCGTGGCGAACTATTTCTTGTCTTGAACGTTGATCTTGGCAGCATTGAAATAGGTCGTTATCGCACTTCACAACTTGGCTAATAGCTTCGTTGAGCGTTTGCGGATCAGAAAGAGTTAACAGCAAATCCTTCACATCGTCCCTTAAACTCCAATAGAATTGATTCATCAACGCTTCTTCATCCCAATGAATGTCGCATACTAATTGCCTGAAGTCCGATGCATAGACTGATGTAGAGCGTATTCCTTGTCGTAGTGACCGGATCTTTGTTGTAGCCCATCGAACCTTGTCGTGTTCACCAAATGCTTCCACAAACACCTCCAAAAAGATTTCAAAGTTGTTTAGTATGGACGATCGTTTCTCAAACAAAGGAGCAAACCATGATAGAGCTTATTCTGTAAGTAAGGTTCCAACAAGCCCAACACGTGACTCCTCCGTTGGATAGCATTCGGGCTGTAAAACTGTTATCAATCTGATTTGGTTGACGAATCCTCGAAACTTGGAACGCGTACCATCGAACTTGTCTGGGAGGCTAACTTGGGGCTTCTTATATTGTAGAACCAGCGGTGCTTGTTGAACCTGAGGCAAAGTTGCTTCTCCTAGTGCAGAAGTTTGAGACTGGTGCAACCTAGATTATGCCATCCAAGATGCTCCATCATTATGAAGCCTTACCACGACTCCTTTAATCTCTGCAGTTCTTTGCGATAACGTAGCGAGGGTATTCATGATAGCATCTAACTTGGACTCCAAACTTTTCGTCATACTAATGTCTTGGCCTTCGGCCATTCTAAGAGAAGGACAGAAATGACTCTACAAGAAGATAATATTGGTTTAGAAGAGGGTACTCCGCAACCTCTAAAATGCTAGTACACTTCTAAGCAGAGGGGTAATCCATTCTCTAACAAAGAAGAAACTAGCTCTGATATCTGAGGTGAGTGAAGTCTCGACAAACTGTCATGGATACAAGAATACAGACTCGAGATCTAACAAGAAGTTCAAGAAGAATTGGCAAGAATTAGATTAATCAGATGAAAACAACACTAGAGAGGTGAGCTAGACCTCCAAGAGATGTGTTGTCGAGACTGAAGAACTCTTCAGCCTCGATTCCAATATATACTCCTATTTAGGAAGCTTCTCAAGCAACTTTTATCAATTAGGAAGCTTTTAGAAGGTTCCAGAGACTTGCTTCTAGAAGGTTCTAAAAACTTATCTCTAAAAGGTTCTTTGGACTATGTCCCTAACATCTTCTACCAACTAAGAAGCTTCTAGAAGGTTTCAGAGACTTGCTTCTAAAAGGTTTTAGAAACTTGTCTCTAGAAGGTTCTAGAAACTTGTCTCTAGAAGGTTCTAAGGATTATGTTCCTAACACAATATATCCATTTCCATTGCAACCACGATAAGATGAAAATTGTTTATTATATATTTGTTCATTAAGTGTATGATTGAATCTTAATGTGTTTGTCTATACACATTACAATTTGACCATAAATTATCCTTGCCACGACCACAAATTCATTTGCCTTGTGAAAAAGAAAAAAGAAATGCAACAAACGCACAACATGAAAAAAATTCCACCGCCAATACAATGAACGACACTTTGAGTCGGCACACTTAGGGCGGCGTAAGATCGTCGAATTCCTCAGCCGCGAGATCCGATTGAAAGGTCGAATTCCTCCCCCGCGAGATCCGATTGAAAGTTTTGTGTAGATCAGAAGCTAGCGTTATGGATTTCAGGACCTTATCACCATCGCAGCGTTGAATCCCGCTAAGCTGCCATGGCTACAATGCAACGAAGCTCGACAGAATGCCTCGACGACACCACACTTCTGCAGAATGTCAGAAAACGGCGTGTCTCCATCGAAGCTCAATGCGTCGGATTCGGATTCATCGTTCCAGGTTTCGAGGATTTCATCTTCAAGCTTCTGGCTCAATTGGGGTATTCGCCGTGTCGTGACACTGATGATCAGTTGTTGCGATTGGAAGGAGCGGAGTCGGATTTGTGCTAGCTGCTCCACTAGGTGTTTTTTTTCTTTTCAAGTTGAATTCAAGAGCTGTTGTGAAGATTGGATTCTAGTCAGTATACTGAGCTTCGAAGTGGTTCCAGATGTTGATCGATTTGTATCAGGTGGGATTGGCTTGTTTCAGTTTCATGGGAGTTGAGACCGTCGACTCGTGAGAGTAGGACGCGGTCTGTGAGCTTGGAGACATGTTCTTTCTTCTATGCCCGTGTTTGCCTGATCCGCATGCACGATGGGGTGAGGACTCTGACCAATTGTTTGACGAGCGGCTTACCTGTTTTTTCTGATTACTGTGGAAACTGTGTGCTAAACTTGGAACTCGACATGAACCTAACAACAGTGATCTGACGGCAATTGTTCTGATTCTTAGTCATGGCTCCAGCATTTCGGTTACTCAAATTCGGGGTGTTTGTGACTTCGAGTGGTGGAAACAAAAAGAAAAAGAAAAAGAAAAAAAGATCAAATGTAGAATCAGAATGTCTTTAGCATCTGCAATGCGGGTGGCGGGGTGGGGGCAGGGGCCCTTTTGCGCGTTTCCAATTGGGTAATTTCCCAGCGTGGCCACAGTTATCTTTGATACAGTGTCGATGTCCGCTAGAAGCTACTCCCGATGCCGCACCGGCGTACGTTGCGGGAAGCGCGTTTACCACGTCTTGGAGGCGTGAGATTACCCCCAACGTAATTTGCTGCAAATCACACTTAGCTAGGGTCTCCCAGACCTGTCGAAAGGAACCACTATGGTGAAAACATAAATAATAAATAGAAAAGAAGATAAGAAAAAGCAAACAGGAAATAAAAAAAGAAAAAATGGTCCGTGGTAAGCGCGCTGTCAATTGAAACTGCTACCAGCAACAGCCGCACTTTGGAAAATACTAAATTTGACAGCGCCAATTCTTTTGCCGCAGATGATTCATATCTATCTCACTTGCAAAAGGGCCCTCGTTGTGAGTCTCCACTTGGTCCTTATCCAAAGCCTTTCTGGCGGGGACAGGGCACATGGAAGCCCACTCTCATGTGCTTGGGAGCCATGGAGCTCCAGGTGGTGGCACCTCGCTAGAGAGTGCATTTTCCGCCCTGTGGCGATTTGCCATGGGACCTTCCTCTTACAATCCAACGTGGACCCCAGTCACTTCTTTGTCTTTCCGTCGACCGGAGCTGTTCATGGAAGAGATACTGTGCTGGTCACTGGAATCGAGGGACAGGTTGCGAACACACATACGCACACACACCTTTGCGAGTATACATTTATCTTTCATCGTCATTTACGACACCGCATCCCACTTTCTTCTTCCCCGCACATCCTCGCCTTGTAGAGGAGCCCCCTCCCTGAACAGGGATCCTGCAGACTACTATTCAGTGCAATTTTGACACCAGTTGGTAAGTAGCTTTGGAGGGCGTGATTTGGAGGGTTTACGGGTCTATAATGAGTATGATTTGTCAGGCGCTGTTCACATCATGTAGTTTCCTTGGTCTTCGATTCATCGATTGCTGGTTGTGGTGGTGGATTACTGCGTTTGCGAGAGATGAAGTTGGAGAGCTGTTGCAGTCCAGTGTCTATTCAAGTTGAGCCGCTCGGTACGGAGTAATGTGTGTCGTGCGTGTGACAGCGCATGATGGATTTTGAGCTTTGTGATGGGTTGTTTGGGATTTGGTGGGAAGTGGTATAGCAGAGCTGACTATTGTTCTCTGTTGATTTTATTGTTAATGCAGGTGTGCATCTTGTTTTCAACGAGAAAGATGGGTTCGAAGGTATGGATGTGTTTGTTACTGGCCATTTCAGCAGTAGTTGCTTCTGCAGCTGTGGAGGATAGCCTTGAAACTCCGCAATATACTGTGGTTCATGCGGAATCGGACTTTGAGATCCGGTTGTACCGTCCGTCTACGTGGGTTTCTACCCCCGTGGATGATATTTCATTCGGCAAGGCGACACAGATTGGATTCCACAAGTAATTTCGATGCACCGTCCTATGTTTTCGTTTTTGCTTTTTTGGAATTCCTCTCCTTTTCATGCACTTTTGAGTAAGCAGGGTGAAAAGTGTCTTAGTAAAGGGGGACGATTCATCCCTCAGAAGAGATCCTTGCTTGACATACTGTCAATCATCCCAGTTTATTTCACCTGCAACATATTTGAGTGCAGCATAAATATTTTTTTCTTCTCCTCTTTCGCGGTCGATCGCATCGTACTACTTGTCTAATTTGCACTTGAAAATCGATCCCGAGTGCGTCATGATGGAACGCAAATTTACGATAAGAATACGATTTACATGAGCGTGCAGTCGTGATGTGTACAAGCTGTGTACAGAATAGATTTGCTGAAAGGAGTATACTATGGACCGCCTATCTTGGGCATGAGACTGAATCGATCACATAATTTAGTAGCAGACACATGATGTGTGTGCTAGATCTCGTCCCATCCGTTCTTTCCGAGCCATTAGCTTTTTTTCGTCTTGTCTTGATTGCATTTGATATAGCACCTGAGTCTGCAGTACAGTAGATTTGACTGCCATTGCACAAATGTGTGCTGGCAACAGTTCAGTGATTTGATAGGTCGAGCAATGGTGAATATGATTATCTAACGGGTAGGTGCCGTGTTATGGCGAGCAGGTTGTTTCAATATATACAAGGCGCCAATCTCAACAACACTCGTGTGGAAATGACCACCCCTGTATTGACAGGAATAGTGCCCTCTGCTGGGCCATTCTGCTCCTCTGCATTCTCCATCCGATTTTACGTGCCGAGTAAGTTCCAGGACAACCCACCTCTTCCCCTCCTCGACTCTGACCTCACAGTTGAGAACTGGGACGAGAAATGCATCGCAGTGCGTCCATTCTCGGGCTTTGCCAAGGATAGCAATGTCGCTCAGGAAGCAGCTGCTCTAGAAGCTAGTCTTCAGAAGACGAAGTGGGCTAACGTTACCGACAATGAGCCAAAGGATGGTGAGGATGCTTACACCATTGCTCAGTACAGCAGCCCTTTGAAAATCTTGGGCCGTATTAATGAGGTGTGGGTGAGCTTTCCATCAAGCCATGGCTGCCACGCAGAGCTTCTCCGCACCAAAGCTGGTCGAGTTGCACCATAAATCTCATACCAGGGATTTCTTAACCTGGCTTTGTCACTAAATTTGTAATTACTGTTGGTTGTTCTTAGCGAGGGATTGAGTTCAGGAAAGATGGAATGCTTCTTGAGCATTATCTTGAGTGGATCGATTATCGGACCATGTGTATGTGGAATTTAGAACTTGGAATAGATGAAAACTTTGGACATCTTCAAACCTGCTCATCATGGTAAATAAGACGTGTGTTTTCGTGCTTCGCGTGCTTCCAGTTCTGTGCTTCCAGTAGGTTGGAGATGCTTAGAGAATCGGAAGCCACCTATGTGTCTGCGCCGAGCCCCTTACCAAACTTCACCATGCATATCACTGAATGACGTGTGATGGATACTTTGTGATTGAAAAACCATGTTCGAAAACGGACTGCATTGCCGGGTTATCATAATTTCCTGGATATGTGCACGCGCTTTCAAAGTTGCCATAGAATGTGTGGGCAAGTTGCGAAGCTGGAAATTACTTGGAACGGAACTCTATCTCGAACATGCTTGCAGAATATGCACTCTCATTTGACGGAGTGGTAAGATCCATGCTCTCTGACTAGGCCCTAGCCCAAGGTGTCCGAGCGACTGACTACTTCCCAATTCCCACGAATAACCAGCCCGCCGCCTGATATAACGTGACAACATTATCGATAGGACACAATGCTAGGTGGCAGAAGTGGGCTCTACACGCGATTCATAGCTTGTATCTGACATTTTCATGACGTGTGCGTGGCAGCCCAATATTTCATTTCCAAACTATCAGTAGGTCAGATGTATGCTACTGCTTGGTTGTAGCAAACATCTGAAACTACCACGGGGGAGCTCTATTCGGCCGGTATGGGAGGATGGTTTCCCACGCTCGCCCAATGGCCTGGCTGCGAAACGTGGCAAACATCTATCTATCAATCTGGTAAGTATGGGAGAGGGGCCACGGAATGTACTGGTAGAGCGATAGTGCCTATTTCAATAACCTACAGATACAAAGTACGAGCACGAAAGCAGGTTTCATTGAGGTTTGTGATTTGAACTGACCTGCAATCCTTGTCAACACGACAGGATCGTTTAGAGTGGTGGTACAACGGCCCCCAATTGCCGCACAACCCCCCGTCGAAGCACTGTTCGGGACCCAACATAGGTGAGCGTAGGCTGAAGCGCATGCATGCATTAATGCTCGAACACAAGATTGATGCAGAATTTGAAAGAGGGATAAAGCGTGATGAGTTGGGTTTGCGAGCAGCATCCGTTGAAGAGCTTCGGCAGCAAGCTTCGAGCTCACGAAGCTACAAGCTGGATTCCCTCCCGTTCGAGTAACCGTTGCAGATCCCGCCACGTTCGCAAATGCGACTGCTGCGTGCCGCAATGCTGAAACACAGCAGCTGCGGTATGGCCCAGAATTCCGTAAAGATTCTTCTCGATGTGGGTTTAGCCTACAGAAAGGGCATAAACAATGTTTACCACATCAAATAAGAGCCAAATCTAACCAAGTAAAAACTTTGAGGAACAGGAGAATTCAAACCATAAACTATCAAATGTTGCACTATCTGATCCCCGCCTAACAAATACCGAATGTAAAACTCTTACTCTTAGCGTCGTACAAATCCCCAGACCATCAACTCATGATTATTTTCACATTGAAGATAGAAGATTCAAAAGATACCCACATCTTCAGGGATTGTGAACGCTTGATTTCGGTTCATGTAAGATAATGGAGGGTTTTTAGTTTTTAATTTTCTTTTTATCGATATCACAGTGACTATGTAGTGGAAATAGATTAAGATTACAATTAACCATTCGCAATCTTTCAACATAAACGAAAAGTCGTCTGGTTCAGGGCCTGTAATGCCTTTTTCCACATTCTTCGCACAAGATGTCCTCACAACGACCTCCGCATCCACATCGACCTCGACCTCCCCATGACCAGTTGGGCGGCATTGGATTCCACAGTCAGCCTTCGATGGAATGGGATTGACCTCCACGGGACTGGATGATCGACGTTTCATTCCCTCCGATTGAACCGCCGTGTGAATCCATCGCCGGATGAGACTTCATGGGGTTTAAGCAATTAGGGTTTTCACTTCACTTGCATTTCGTCATGCACTTCTCTCCGCGGATTACCTCGTCGCGCTCTTCTGGCTACAACCGGCGTTGATGCTCATTCTCATCACTGCTGCAACCCCCTTCCTGAAGGTTTAATGCTGCATTTGTGGTGCTGGATCTCGGTTGGACACGCTCCTGGAGGATCCGATGTAGAGTAATCTGTGTAAGTATTTGAGTTTGTGGAGAACTTACACCTAGATCAAGCACATTTCAGCTGCAGCTCGGGTTGTTTGATCGTTGGAAGGGCGTGAACTACATGGTGTGCATTTTCGGAGATTATGGGATTTGAACAAGTGATTTGTCCTTCCAGGGCATGAATTAGGTTTTTGGTAATTTTTTAGTAGACATTTCTGTCGAGAATTGGCTTTCTTGAAATGGTGCCACATTCGAGGGAATTGGTTTTATAGCTTTGATTTTTCTTTTTGCAAGGTAAGATAGGGCTTTGGCATGTAGTCTTTTACCATCTAGTCCTCATTGTCTTCCAGTGTGGCCGTTGCGTCTACGTTGAGGGGGCGTAAGAAGCTCACATTTGATTTTTTAGAAGAGTAGGAGGTGATTGCAATGGGAGGTAAATGTTTCCTAGCAGCGTATTGAAGAAGCACTTGATAATGGATACATTAAGATGTTTTCATAATAGAGAAGGTGCATCGTATCGTTGATTCAATTGCGGGAGTCGAGGATTGAAAATCAGCAGTTTAAATATGAATCGAGTCTTGTCTTGAGAAAATGGTGGAAATCTTACATTATTGTTCATGGTGATCACTTGAGCAGGATCGGTGGGAAGGTTTTCGAGTGGCCTGCATAGAACAGGACTTGTTGTATGAAATTTAACGACACAAACGCAGGACTGAACCTAGTCACTCTGACCAAGGAAGGACGTCCGCCAGACTTCGAATGAGAAAAGGAAGGGGATGAGAACCTGGTAGGGATGGTAGGGGAGTCTCAGTCGCAAATTGAGTACGATGAAGAGTGGGAGAATTTACTTGACAGTGGGATTCTTGAGGACCTATTACAGAAGGCAGAGCATGAAAATGCTGTTAGGCGAGCATCTCAAGTGGTGTCCACTTTCTCTACTCCTCAACCAGTGCAGCCTCTCGGACCCCCGCCAAACCTTCTTCTCGACTCACAGACACACCCTCCCCAGCCTACTATTGGGCCCGTCTCAAACGCAGTGCAAGTCTCTGGTAGAGCTCAATTGCACACTGAGAATGCATTTAATACACGGTCCCAAACCTTGCATGGCTCGAGAAAGCCACCTTTGCCTTTTGAGCTGAGGGGGAGTCAGGGCTATTACTACCAGGATAGACATGAGGGAGCTCACCTTCCCATCAACCTTTCCCAACTACCCTCGCAAGGACCAGGATCTTTTAGGTGTGGGACTCCTGCAAATGGTGCTGTGAATATTCAAAACCAACCATCAAATGGTGTTCCTGGTTCACTTAGGGATGATGGGCTACATGTCAATGAGTTGCTGGCTGAAAAGAATGGGACGATTTCACTCCTTCGATCTAAGCTCATGCAGGTAACCAGTGAAAAAAAAGGCTAGCTAAATTATGCATGGGATGCTCGTCTTGAGCAAGATCACAATGTGTAGGCGATGATGTTCGTAACATATGGGGCTTCCTTCTACCTCGTGATGCTCATCTGGCAAGAATTAGTTTTGGCCTTGAAATGCTGAGTGATAAGAACTTTACTTTCATTGGTACCTTAGGACTGAGAGTTTCTGATTGTTTTGCAGACCTAGAAATCCTTGTTTTGCCTACTCGTTCTGTCGGGTTTGATTTCACCTAGTCCAGCGCGTTCATTCCTGTTTTGGGTTGAATCCTTTAATGCCAAATCAAAACTGATCAACACATGCTCGTCTTGGTATCGTCGTCATATTGATCAGGCGGACTCAGAGCTGTATGACCTCAGAAAAAGAGTCGCGTCTCAGACTTCCTCACAGCATGTCCCGCAATTTCAGGTTCGACGTGAATTGTCTTGCCTTAGTCACATAAGCCCAAGTATCAGACGAATTTCAATGGTTGAAGCATGAAAACATAGCGGTTGCAAGCAAATGAGTTGTTCTTTTCAGTCTTTAGGGATTCGGAATTGTTAAGTGTACTCCAGGCGTTTATCTAGTGAGAAGTTCTTGGATATACCTTGTTAGACGAATTGGGCTTCGGTTTGTTAGTAGTTTAGTTATGTTAGATTTATTTTTACAACCCTTAAACAATTGTGGATTTATCTTTAATGTGACTCAACATAGAAGTTTTGGTGTTGAGCCATAGACAAGCTACGTTGATGCATTTGATGGGTGATTTTGCACTCTAATCCTGGATGCATCGAATGAAGATGTATATAAATGGGTTTGTTTTGAATCCTTTTCGTTTACTCCTGAAATACTGACTCGTGCAGCAAAGGGAGCTGGAGCGCCTGTCTTTGGAGCTGACTTTGAAGGTCTGTTTTTATTTTATATACATATAATTTCAAATTTTCAAAATATTTTGTTGAGAATAAAACGAAAATATACATTTCAAAAATAATTGCTTATAAATATACATGGAGAGAGAGAGAGAGAGAGAGAGAGAGAGAGAGAGAGAGAGAGAGAGAGAGAGAGAGAGAGCTCCTTGTTTATCATGCCAAGTTAACTTTAGTTCCCTCCGGTTGACGGTTTTTGCTATTTATGCTCACTACATGCAGGATCAAGAGGTATTGGAAGCAAGAAGGGCACGTGATGAGAAAAATGATCGTCTTAGAGAAGCCTTATCCACAGCTGCAGCACTTGAAAAAGAATTGGAAAACCTCAAAAGGCTAAGGTTCTTAAGTCTGCCTCACCAGATTCACTGCAAATTTAGCTGATGATGCCTCTGATACCAAAGCATGTATTATTGCTGATACTTAGTTCTTGTATGGTGATAGGAAAATAGATGCAGGTGGGTCAAAACGATGTCATGAGGAAGGAGAGTATGAAGCTGTTAACAGGGCTGGTCCATCTTATTCTCAAGGAGATGAACCTGAAGAAGAAAACACAGCTTGCAGCGGTCGGCCGTCGGAGGGGACTTATGCACATGTGAAAGATCAGTCTAAGAGACTAGATCAAGCACAGGAAGTATGGGCAGCACCCTGGGAAACCGAAAAAGCTGAAAACGTGGCTGCACATAAAGCTGTAGCCTCCAAGGAGTCCTCCGATGCTGCAGTGCTGAAGGCTCGCACAGTCGATGACGGTATTCGCTCCTATTATCACCTTTTGCCAGCCTGGATCTGTTTTAATACAGTAATTCTTGTATGGTTGGGGTTCAGAACTGTGATTACAATTTTTTCACATTCTCTGTTTGGCTTTACCTTCGTTTTGCTTCTATTTTCTGGGAAAACCTTCTTCTTGTCTTAACTTTGGTTATTCTCTACGTGCAAGCAACATTATATGGTCGCTTTAGAATGCAATTAACACACTTACACGGAGTTGAGTTGATATGCATTTTTTTTAATATTCTGGTCGCAATTAGGATATAGTGACTTTTACAAACATTCAAGTATTACTAAAAGGGTGTGACAGTTTGCAGATTAAACAGAGCTGAAGTCTTTCATGTATGTTGTTCTTATAAAGAATCTTGTGCATTCTCTCCCTCCAGGTTGTGTTACTTCAAATCAGAAGAAAACAAGAGTGGTACCTCCCCAGGTACTGCGGTAACTCCTGGGTGCTGAATTTTTTCGTTGAAATCTCTGTAGCCGATGGCCTTGTTCTGTCAGTTTCTTGCGGCATGTGAGCTTTGACACTACTTTATCTCTATGTTAGGCATCTGAGCTACCCTGCAGAGGACATATATCTGGCAGGGACGGTGCTTCTGCTCCACTTCCTCAGCAAGAAGCATCTGGCAGAGGTTTGGGGTTGGAGAATGGGGCTATTCAGAGGGAACTCACGCATGTCTTGCAACAAATATGGAATCCAAACGGCTCTCAAAGCGAGAGCGTGTCCCTTGTCTCGGAACTTTTTGCTGTCTGTCGCCAAGATCTGTACATTCTGTCAACATATGAAGGAACTTTGAAGAAGTCGTTGAAGAGTCAGACAGGCTCAAAGAGCATAACTGGTTTGAAGCGGAAGCAGACTCTTCACAATGAACCAAAGAAGGAGATTCAGGAAAGTGTGGGTTCAAATTTTCACAGCGCACTTGCAAAGGTAATGCGTGCCTCCCTTCGCAACTTTATCACGCATGGGCGGGTGCTCCTATTTAAACATCTTGACATATAGCACCTTTCTTAGGCTGTTTTAACCCCAAGGATTTCTGCAGATCGGCTGTTTCAAATTTGTCTAGGTGGAAGGTTGATATTATCTGTATGCGTCATCATTCCTGACTGGATTTGGAATAATGATGTTACTGTGTTCCAATTTTATTTGGGGCTTGTGATATCATAAAATGCTTAACGTGAGCCAAAATAGAGTTATTCATTCTGTTTTTCCTTGATATAATTGATATTCCGGGAATAAGTTTTGAAACTTGAGAGCATGATGCTATTTTGAATCTTCAGTAGTCTTTAATAGTCCTGTCTGTACTGACCTCAAGGCAAGGGCTTCAGAAACTGATTGTTGTAGCTCTCATTGTTTAAGCATGGTTGCAGGTTGCAAATAAGCTTATGCCGTCGGCAACACTTCTTGGACCCTTACTAGAGTACTGCGATTGCGACAATGTACGTGAAATGTACCTTTTAGCTGTATTTCCCCAAGATATTATATTAGTTCCCCATTCCCTCAGTCACTTTCTAGGATTTACGTTGTTCAAACATAAATGCATCAGTCCGTTCGATAAGCCTTCAAACCCACGACAGTATGCAAGAATGAACCGGGTATAAGAGAGTGGAATCTATCTCTAAAAGGGATAGCAATACTTCGATAAGAATCCGTCTACAATCCAGGGTTTAAAACATCAGTCTTCAGATTTTTTATTGACTTAGGCCGGTTGCACAATCGGAAGTTCCCTTTCTTTGCTGTTAGGACTGCTTTGTGATCCTTCTTCCCTAGTCCCATGGGAATTTAATCATCTAGGTTTCAGTGCTGGCTCTGTTGTGTGGGTGAAGGTGATCCAATGATGGTCTGTTTTTTATGCCATGCAGGTGGATCTTGTTCAGAGCGCTCTTCGTGTTATGCACTGTATTCTACGCCATGAGTCTTTTTGCAGAGATAAAGTACTTGCAAGGTAGGTTAACATGCATCCCTGCAATTTTTGGATGGCGCTTGAATTAAGAAAGAGACTATACTTTCTGCATACTCCTTTGTTAATTCCAGATTAGAAATGCTGTTTAAGCTATATCTTTCTGTGTTTTCTAACTGTTTAATATTTACATGGTAATTGTAATGACAGAAACAATTCTGGAAATATTTTCAGTTCAAAACATGTAGGTATTTCCGACAGCTTCAGTAGATTAAACTTGTCGTTCGAAGGGAGAGGATGGTCTATGTGTAGTGGTGACATGAGGCAAGAACAAACTTCTGTTCCTGTCTTTTCTTCTCCGCGGGTGTTTTGTGGACTTCCGAAGCCGCAAAATGAAACTTCTGTAGGTTCATCACGGCCAGAACAAGCAGAGATTCGAAGGAATATCACTGGAGTAGAAGATGGAGCTGACATGGTAGCCTCGGATCTCAATCCTTTTGTTGACTGGTTACTGTATATGGCTGCCCATTCTTCCAACACTGGCGTCAGATTTGGAGCAAGTGCCATAATGGGCCTGTTAGTGGCACATAGTGAACCCGTTTCGCAAAGGGCACAGTAAGTTCCTCACCTACTGTGTTCGTTGTGGTTTTGTATATGTATTTATTTAATGTCGAAAGCTTGTTGTTGAGTATGATGATGTGCCCGTATTTACATGCTGTTTCCTGCTTCTGCAGATTTGGACCTTTGTTATGGGGGAAAAAAACTTGCAAATTTGGCTTCTCTACAAGTGGGGAACAGCAAGTTGCAAGTTTGGCTTCTCTGCTCAAAGGGACTGCTGGGGTAGCAGTACAATTACAAGCTATCCGCCTGGTGCACCTTCTATTACATTGTAGGTCTGCACTTAACCAATTATTTTGTTCACTAAAATTTCCACGTTCTTAGGATTTCGTTTTCTTACATTGTTTTCATTTATTGACATGTTGATAGAATTGGATGCTTGGTGAAGCACTTATACTTCAGGTTTGATGCTGGTCTTCGTGTTCATGCACTTTGAGAGTATCATGTTTTTGCTGTTTATTCCTAAAACTCAAATGTTTTCAACTTCATTTCTCATACTTCTATACATTTATCACATAGTTTCTTCATGCTATGCTTGCATTTACTGGTGAAGTTCGTGCTCTGACGATAACCATCACTGTGTTTGCATGTATACCTGTAGGTCCTGCTCTTCTTCAGATGTTCTGTTCTGCTCTCGATACATCACTTGGCGACCCTGAATGCATTTCCAAGCCAGGTGATCCTGGTGTTGGGGAGTCAGTAACACACATCCAAGGCCTTGATATGCAAGGGCGGGGAGAATGCAAGCTTGTGCTGGATGGGATATCTTCTTGTCTAGAATACCCTGGCAGCAGTTTACAGGTGCGTATTCCTTCAATTATGTTAATCAACTTTAGAAATGAAAAGTATTGCAGATTGTGGAAGGGTTTCCCATCACAGTTGTTTTTAGAAACTTTAGGAACCATTCACTGCTGAAATTTTGTACTCGCACGAGGTAGTTTCTATTAAGAAGTTCAATTTTACACTTGACATCCTTGGAATTTTGCATTGTATTTTCTTGGCCTCTTCGTATCTTTACCTTGAGTTTGACTCGTAGATATTTAACTACATGTAGCTGCAAGGGTATTTGCAGGTTTGAACATCTATCTTATCTCTGCCGCACTTGAAAGCTTTGTTTGGAAGATTTCTGGAGCTCTGTGAAATGCGACACTGACAAGACTTGTCTAAATCCTTGGCAGGAGTATGTTATAAGACGGGATGCCATACGTGTGTTGGCCTATTTGGCAAGTTCTGGGGATTCTGCTGTCCGAATTCTTTTGTGTGCTCAAATCAAATTGGAGCAATGTGGAACATTCAAGGAGTCTTACAGTGCGGATGGTGGAAATGGGCTGCAAAGCGAAAATCCTCGAGCGGGCTCCCGCATGAATGCGAGCACCGGTGATGTCGTTGCTGCTGCGCATAATCCACACGCGGGTGTAAATATGAGGCCTGTTACCTCCGAGGATGGGGAGAAACTCTTCGACATACCTTGCAGGCTTATCTCACTTCTAGCTCGCGAGCTCAAGTCAGAGGCGGATGAATCCCCAAATCTCATCGAGAGGCTGGGTTTTGAGGAGCATAGGTATCTACTTCTCCTTGAGATATACGTCTCAGCTCTTGGTTAAGCTGATTACTTCTATTAGTGTGAATCTAACCTGTTGCATCTTTGACTGCAGGACGTGTTTGATACGTGAGACGGTTTCACTTTTTTCCAAGCTACTATCAAATCAGCAACATTCACGCGAATTGCTGGACTCGATCATTTCCAGCCAGGAAACCACCAGGTTGATTTTGAGTGTCATTGATCAGCTCATCAGCCGAGGGTCTCAATCACGTCCAGGAGCAAGCTCATCCACGGATTTAGTGGAGCTTGCTAGAGGCCTGCAGAATCGTATAGTTCCGGAACTCTGACATCATTGAAGCACATCAAATGTACTTAGGAAGCATTCAGTGAAAGAGGAGTAGAAGAGCAGTGGTAGCTTGAATTGAATGCTATTTTTTACAGTGAACCTCCACCAGCATTTTTCATTTAATCAGTTTCCCGTGGGAGATAAGGTTGATTGTCTCTAGTAGCATCGACTCTCTAGCTCTTCGAAACCTCTTTGCATGGTGCTATGTCCATTGTCTAGCAAGCACTTGCTTCTACGGGGATTTTTGAACCGAGAGAGACTTAACATGATGGGCCCTTTTTGGCCAGTCCTCTCACTTGTGTCCATAGATGACACATGAATGGAATCCTATATGGCATTCAATGAAAGTTTTTAACTGTGCTCTTAACTTCCGTAATTTTAATATTGCAAAAGAAAACAACACATGCACCATCAGAGCAGTACTAAATGTAAATGAAAGAGTTGAACTTCCAGTGAAGGTGGGATTTTGGGTTAAAATCGATAGTGAGCTGAAGCTAATGTAAATCGAACTCAAGGTGAAGATTTGTGCGGTACTAGTTGGATAGTGAGTTACGTCTGACACTTGAGACCTGGAGTTTTGAAGAAAGGAGAACCAAGGAGAGCAGAACATAGGAGTGAATGGTCTTCCGGCTCAAGCTTTCTGCCCAACAACAGTAAGTCAATTGTTGGTGATTGATTCAGGTATCAGAAGTAACTTGAGTTTTAGTCTGATCTCGATTTCATTCAAATCACGTAGGAAAAGATTGCCAAATCATTTCCGCCCCTGGGGGCTGGAAGTTGGAACGTTGAAATGCTCTTTGTCCTTCAGTGGTTAAGGTAACAACTTGTGCTACCGTACATTGAAGCATAGGAATAAGGAAGCTGCATTTGACAGGAGCGATAAGTGTGCCACAAAGGTTTATATCATTGTACCCACATCACCAGGTGGCAGTGTTGTTGAGTAAAAATCAGGGATACAGGAAATGATCAGAGCCTTAGCACAGTGACTGACCTACACGACTTTAATTACACACACTCAGTACACGGACTAGCTCAAGGTGAGGAGGCGCGCAGTAAATGAACATCAATGTTTGAAATTATGCTGTCGTGTAGCCACAATGATCACACACCACCTGGGGCTGCTCGTCTCAGGCTGAAGTCCTCTTTGTACCAGAGACCTGAGTAATATCACCAAGAGTTCATTACCAGCTTGACACCTAAAGCAAAGTGGGAGCAAATGGGACCATGGAAAAAGAAAATAGGTAGAGAGAAAGTAGGATATTTTATGGGCACCTACGTTAGCCATTAGGGGCAGCATGGTCTCCACACACAATACGTAAACTACAACTGGTGGTGAAAAAGCACCATCACAATCCATTACAACCAATTTTACTCCTCAGGGGTACTGCAGATTAAAAAATGAAATTTAGACTCGAGGCAATTGCACTCGGCTCCTAACGTTCTCATCTCAACCATGTGAAGGAAAACTCCCGAAACCAATGATAGATGCTCAATGGAGAAGTTCGCTTACTTCCAGTTCTTAGACAGTGCTTAGTGTATCCTCTCAAATGAAGTAGCACTCGGAGACAAAACGCTCTGGTGAACTGGATTGCAGAGGTTTCTAGCTCGTCGAAAGTGGTGGAGATTTCTTGAGCGAAGTTGCCTTGCGCACCATTCCCTCGATAGTCAAGTCAAACGCGTCAATATACGGGAAGTTTACGTCTGACGGGTTCCTGTACAAAACATTGGGTATCATGGAGATGAGCTTCTCACGCATCTTAATCACTTCGGCCGGTTTGATCTTCTTCAATATATCCCTAACGATGCACGTTCCATTTGTGACGCAATCTTCATGTATGAAGACAGAGAACGTCCTGTAGTCCTCAGGAAAGTGCCACATGTATTGTTTTTGAGCCGAATCCTCGTGGAAAAGGACGGGGATGCAGCCCGAGACTATGGAATCGATCGTTGATCGACGTGTTGCTGTATCACCACGCGGTTGCAAACAGAAATTCGCTCGGAGAAGACTCTCGTAAATTGGCACGGGGTTGTGACTACAACTAACCTTTGCGCAATCCAATCTTGAACACTCAGTGGCAGCGTTTTCGCACTCATTTGACAGCATCCTCCGAATGGACAAAGTTGGCCTCAATGCACCTGTAAATGAAAATAAGTGGGTGCGAGCAGACTTTCTTACCCTCTCGATCCAAGAGTTTAAGCTTGCTGCATTGGATGGATGGAAACCCACCGGGTAAGGTATGGCTTGCTCGAGAGACCGCCATGGCCGGCGTTCCAACACCATAAATGTCACATTCTGCATCTCCTCTAGATCTAACAAGCAAGTGCCCCAATCATCCATAGTGGGAATGCCAAAGTCAAAGGCTGTCCGTCCTGCAATCATGAAATGGTCCTGACCACCATAACGCGCCCAAGACTCTGCCGCATTAGCACGCAACCAGGAAATAACCTCGTGCCCCTGCTTGTCCATCTTTCTCGTATCGTTGTAAAGATATGGCAGAGCATCCAGCCCCGCGAAGAAGGGGATATAAAAGATGTCTGCATTAGCGGGCTTGTCTGCCAAGCATGGGTAAGATCTCATTCTCTCGAAGATAATAACCTCTAACATGTATGCGTCAGTACCATACCAGTCGTCTCGGAACATACTATTAGTCGTGTTCACGATCTCTCCAAATCCGTAATTCTTGTAATGATTGCAAAAATGTATCCAATGCACCAATTTACCGTCGCAGAACTCCAGGATTTTGGTATTGAAGACCTCTGGCATGTCGTACATGTGTACCCTTCTTCCATAACAAGCATCTGAGGAGTGTCCAACATCCTGGACTGACTGAATACTAGTTTCCTCCTGCTGAAATATAGAATCAGGGCTGGGGCAGAACCATGTCGTGAAAAGGATGATAAAGACCACAATCGAGACCTTGGAGATAGATCTCCTTTTTGAGACAGACTGTGCCCGATGCTTCTTCGCTGTCTTGGAGAAATCCATGAAATTCACGGAAGCCAAGGCTGAACTGCCAACTCTCCACAACGACAAATTTTTGGTAGAACTATTTCAGTGCCGTCACTCACCGCAGACACTTCAATTGCCACTGAAGTATGTATCAGTACCCTGAGGTTCCACAGAACGATCACTCAGTCCCCTGAAGAGTAATTGTAGCCAGGGCTGAAACGTGCACACTAAGTCGGTCACTCTTAACATGCCCAGTAACGTGTCTCTGCGACACAACATGCAATACCAGCAAAGAGAGGATACGATGTGATGTACGGACAAGCCCACCCTAAAAGAAAAAAAGGGATTGACACTGCCTCATATCCGTAGGAAGCGGCCAGTCCCGCAGTGTGACTCACAAGAACGGCAAACGAAGTTTCAAATCTGGTGATCGACTCGACTAAAAATGGCTACGTGAGACATCAGCTATTTTCTCCTCACAGCCTAAAATGGCAAAAACACCAACAAAAGACGTTAGCAGTTTACCCGGTCCTTAACAAACCTCCAGTTGCTGAAACATACAGAGCGGCAGCAGAAGAGGAGCTTCGTAGCTGAAACCTCAGCTAACATATTCCCTGTCGCAACTCCTCATTGGCAATCGACAGCACCACTATCCAAATAACCTCTCTCCCTCTGCCTACACTCCAACTAAACCTCTCGCGCCTCGAATGCGATTACAACCAGCCAGATGATCAAGCCTCCGCCACCTCAAAAACACCATGAATCTATCAAGTCCTTGCCGTGCAAACAACCAATGATCAGAGCATCCTCGTGGAACCTTGAACGAAGCCAACGCACTACTACTACCACAGTGACAACCACCACCACCAATACGACGATGAAGATGAGGACTACCACCAATACGACCACGGCGACGTTGCAATGACTTGCAGCTCGGAGTCTGCAGCAGCAAATCAAGCGCGCTAACCCGCGTCCTGCACCGGCCTCTCCCGAGACATATCAGACTAAGCCCGCACGGTGCTCACATTGTTTATAAATTTTGCGTGTCCTGTCCTTGCCGGTGACGAAGCAATCTCTCGTGGCGGCGATTGCTTTCTCTTCATCCATCGCCGTCACCATAAAAAACCAAAGCCCAAAGCCAAACAGCTACAGAAACAACCCGCTCCTCCTCCGCCTTCCGATCACAGCACCGAACCAGGGCGCCGTTTAGATTGATCGCCATGCACTCCTCCACTACGCGTGAGATTATATGGTGAACAGTGTGTAATGCTGCAATCTCACTCGACCCACGGAATAGCACCCCAACTTCGGACATCGCTCTTGCCCGGCGCGACTGACGCGCTGCACAGCCTGGATTTAGCACAGTGCGAAGTGGCTGACGTATCCCCCGTCGACGCCGAACGTTGCTTGCGCCGATACTTGCTTCCTTGCTTGCTCGCTTGCTTGTGCTTTGATCTAGTGCCTCTCTCCGTCCCGCATTGATTGCGGTGCGCTGGGTGCGGGGCGCGGGCCGGGCCGGGCGGGCGTTGGCGGGACTATTCGCTCTCATTCCGCCACCATTGTACGCCACGTGGCCATCGGTCACAGTCTACTTGCCATGTCATCACGGCTCCCATTGGCTCGTGGATCTGGTCCGTGCTTTGTGGGATCGAGGTAAATTTGGGCAACTTTACGGTGTACTTTTTTCTCGGAAAAAGTTAGACATGCTTTTCCGTCGCTCTTCACACTAGCCACCAAAGAGCATTGATTGCGTGTACATGTGTGTTTGTGAGTGTGGTGTGTGTGTGTGTCAGTGTTATGACGAAACTAAATTCTGAAGAGATTGTTTGAAAGGTACTGCTATTATTGTTTTGTGAGGAATATAGATAATGTATATTTTTAGGTAATTGTGTATATATATATATATATATATATATATAAAGTTAGAGAGAGAGGGGAATGTGAAATAAACCCAAGTTTTTACTAAATCTACCCATCCTAACCAACATGAAAAAAAAAAAGTGACTTTTAGATTCATTTCTCCACTACTGGATATGCAACCAATAAGGACCAACCACATTCATCATGATTACTACATTTTTTTTTATCAAGAGTGGGTCTATTTATTAAAAGCATGCATCTATTTAACATTCCTCCTATCTAAATGTATATATATATATATATATATATACATATTAATAGCAATTGTATTAAAAATAATCATAAAACTTGTTTTGTACCATTATTTTGGATTTTTTTTTTTTTTAATTGTCCGAAAGATTAGTAGTAAAAACATGATATTATTGTGTAAAAGGTATATCATTTGATGTTCCTATTGGGTGAACTAATACATGTGTGATTTTGTAATTGGATTATTTATGTAATGTATCTTGCTTGGATGTTAGATATTGGGATTTTCGACATAAAGCCAAATTAAAGCCACATTGTTGTTGGGTATGTGGTTTGTGAAAATAGTGTTTTAATATAAATATTTGTAATAAGTGAGTTAGGTATTGTGTATGTATTTTTGGCATTTATAATCCTGCAAAGGAATGGTATGTCTATGTCTATGTCTTCATTATTGGTATGTTCTTTGCATTGTTCAAAATTCAATGCAATATCACGTTTTGGAATTTATATGACAAATTATCTACAATTGATGGCAATTATTTTTTATAGTGTGGTAATTCAGATTAAGCTATATTGATGCAAAAATAAAACTATATTCATCAAGTGAAATATTAAAAACATAATTAAAAATATGTTAATACTGGACAAAGTATAAATTTTAAATCAACTTTGTAGATAAGTAAAAATTTAAACCGTAAACTAAAACGTTAATCTCTGACAAAACTTTCCATTCATAAATGATGAAAGCAAATAAAATCGTACCTTCTAAACATAAAAATTTAAATATTCATGTCCTACAAATATTTAATATATGATATACATGCATGATTGTCCTAAGGAAAAGATTACTGTGATTTTAAGATAGTTTCATTATGAAAAATGATTGCAAAAGATATTTGCAAGCAAAAAGATAATGTTTTGCAGTATTATGTTATTTTTATTTTATTTTAAATAATTAGTAGACACATAAGTAGTAAATAAAATAATGGGATTTGTACCATTTTTATTTTTATTTTGTTACTACTCTAGATAGACTCAAAATCAAGGCATAGAATGATCAAAACTTGGATTCAATATTGAAGGTATTAATAAAAAACAACGGCAAGGTTAGAAACCAATTGCTTCCAATTCACTAGGTTAGCTTTGAAACACAGCTACGACTAAAATAGAAATAAGTAGCTCCAAGGACCGCAAAATGTCTGTTTTTAATTAACAAATGGATCCAAGTAAAGCAAAAAATCACACACACCCCATGAACAAATGATCCACCTAACCCACATCCCAAATTATCTCCAAACAACATGATCATTTCTAATAGTTAGAATTTTTTTTTAATATATTAGCAATAGTAACACAATAATCTGACCTGTCTAACCAGTTACAAAACTGACAAGTATTACATTTGATCGAATCTAGAAGCCAGAGTCTATTTCTAACCCGAGTTCGAGTTAGCAAGCGATCTGGAGAGTGGGCCATGAGGTTCTTAATCCTGCGGGTTTCGAGGATTACACTGTTTTCGAGCAACGGCGGCTAGTGTTGCGACGACAACAACAACAACAACAAGGTAGTGCAGAAGAAGAAGGTGGAAGAGAGGAAGAGGCTGTCGGTAGCATTCGTCAACTAAGGCGGTTGAAGCGCGATGTCGCAGTGCGCATGGATTCATCGTCAGTGAGGCGGGGAGTTCGGGGTAAAGATCACGATCTAGAGAGCTTGGCTATGCTGACGCACATCCTTACACAACATTCCTCGCGCACCGTAAGGGGAACACATACCCCTTCCAAGAGACACGCTACCGACACTGGGTGCTGGGACCGGGTGGGGCGATCACGGCACTAGGGCTGTGGTCAGGACTGGTGACGGGGTCGTCGGGGAGGTCCATCCCACTTTGAATCTGAGAGAGAATGGACCAGGTAAAGTCGAGCAGGGGCAGGCGGGGTCCAATCTGCGGGTGGACTGGAGGTGAACCGCAGGCTACAAATTTCTCCTGGTGGCTTGTCAAAGTCTGCCAGCGCCATGTGGCTGAAAAGCTGCAGCAGGGTGCGGAAGTAACGCCAGTGCAAGCAGTTGTTGTCCAGCTGCTCACCTCGACCCATGTTATTACTTGCTAATTTTATTCTATCATTTCATCTATAAAATGAGCCTTTAACACAGATCAACATATAAATATATTTTTAAATATAAAAATTTAATTTCGTTGCTCATTAAATGATTATTGTTTTTAAATATTTATTCAAAATTCAAAATATAATCTCTTAAATGATGATTATTATTTTTTGCTTTATTATTCTTTTATTTTAAATTACTTTAAGATTTATATTTATATTTTACTATAGACTCATATGTGTATCTAAGTGAATTATCCATGTGCCCTTGCCTTGCTCAATCATGTATAGCCGCATGGCCCTACTGTGTATGTGGATTTTGTTTATTACCTTTTTTTAATTAATAAAAATCAATAAAAAAATATTATTATTAAAAATTTAGATGTTATTAATCATGCATTTTAGAATGGAGTCAGTTCCCAAAATTTTGATTAATTATTGAAAGTTATTAGTTTTAGGGAGATTATGTTTTGCAAAGAACATTGTACTGTAAAATATAAAAAATGACCAAAACATGCACTAGGTCATTTTTTATTATAGAATTTTAAAAAATAAAAATAAAAAATTCCAACTTATACACTTGTAAAAACTACTTCTTCAAGTGGTTTTTATACAATTTCTAAGAGACAACATTGTTTTTGTTATGTGTTAAAAAAAAATAGATTTTTCTTTATTTTGCAACAAATGATATTAATCAGTAAGATAAATACTGAATCTCCAATAATTGAGACTTCTAAAAGTCAAATTTTCTTTAACAAGCAAGTGAGTATTGTAAGACTTGTGGACCATGGCCTTTTAAAGTAGGCTTTAAGTTTTGTAGATCCTTTATATCTTGTTGATAAATCACTTATTTTCTAATATTTTTTCTAAAGTTTCTATTATCTTTGCAAAAGAATCAATATTTTAGTTTTATTTTTCTTATATATACATGGTTTAGGGTTTGTATAATCTGTGTTTCTTTGGCAGTAATTGGGTCTAGATGCAATTTTGTGCATTGACAACACCTGCCCAGAGCTTGAGATTGAGCCATTCAGGTCTAGTATTCAACCTGATCGACAAAACTGGGGCATGACAAAATGGGTAGTTTTGTGTAGTTCCATGAATATCTTATCTTGTTTTAGAATATAATACCTATTTACCAGAATAAATTTTTAATTATATATATAAATCATAGTATTTATTTTTATAATAATAAATATATGTATTAGACTGAATGCTAAATATGTGTAATTATAATATTTGAAACAAAAATTACAACTAATTCTATACTTGTCAAATACATTCATATCTATAAAATGTAATAAATTTACCAATTGTTAATGTTACACATCAATTAATTTATTACAATTTGAACACCTAATATCATTTTTTTCTTTTTATCTATTTTTAATTTTGACTCATTGGTTTGTGCTTTTAATTTTTATTTAATTTTTTGAATCTTAGAAAATTTACATATCTTTTGAAGTATATATATATATATATATATATATATATATATATATTCATCAATTATAATTACCATAAAACGCTTTACATAATTTTTTTTATATACTATAAACTAATTAATTTTCTTTGTATTAGTACAATTTATATCATTAATCACAATATATAAGTACAGAAATATAGTTAATTTCATAAAACGTACGTAAACTTTAGCTCCTATCTAATTTTTTTAACACTATTTGATGCATAAAATTAGCCTTTTAACATATATTGACTTCAAATCCTTTTTAAGTATACATATTTTTTTTGGCTTATATGTATATAAATATATATTTACATATGTGCTTTTAAATTTCTTAATATAAAATATTATATATTTTTTCATTTTTCATTTTTTTTTTCATTTTTTTTTTTTTTTATCAATATAAGAAAAGAGTAAACTATTAATCTTTTAAAATATACTTAAAAAAAAAATGTGTCTGGTTTGAAGTACTGAAATATTTAATGGATAATAAATATTAATAAAATATATAATATATTAAAAATATAACTACATATTATAATTTAAGATAATAGTCTTTAGTACAATAATATAATTATTCTTAATAATAATTTAAAAATAGAGTGGCTGAGTATTAAAGTTAACTATTAATTTTTATCTTACATTAAATACAGTATAATCAAAAAAATTAAATTAAAATATTTCAATTATATAAAAATAATAAGTAATAATTAAGGAACATCTTTTGGAATTTTTTTGTACAACTATTAAGCTACTACGAGTAT